TCTTTCTGGTTTAATCTAAGTTTAATAGGGCAAACATACACACACTGCAAGAATTTTCTTCACCTCACCTTCTTGGTGCTTTTTTATCAATACAATTACTAATTCTCAAAATAAAAGAAATAGAAAGAAGATTCTCTTCCCCTCTCGAACCAGAAAAAGGTTCATGTTTAGTTTCGTCTTCCTATTTTTGGAAATGTTTGTAAAAAGTCCAGGTAGTCTGAGCTATCTTCAATTAATACATTGATCCTTTAGTTTTTTTCTGGTGTATGGTGAGGGGAAAGAGAGAGAGTGGTAGATTAACCTTTGTGTTGACATTCATAAGGTCGAGATCAATATGGTGACACACTTGTTTCTAGTCCATCTTCTTTTGTAATCTATGGTTTCTAGCCTTGTCTGTTGTAAGCTTTAGATGCACACTTGATTTGCAATTTTATGCCAGCGAAGGCATATAGGATACTTGGAGATTTGATTTGATTTGATTAATGATTATAATTAGGATTATGGCATTGCTGATGTTTAAGTTTGATTTGTTAAAGCTTCATCTGCTCTTCTTGCTTTCGTGATGTTCCTTTTAAGCACTTCAGCTCATTACCGGTGGCAGTTGAGCAGTGGATTTCTTGTTTGCCCCATCTCAAGGGGAACTTTGACATCTTTTTTTTAGTTGTCCAGCAGTGAATGTTGATTGTAACAGTAAAATAGAGAAACCAGGGAAGATTTAGAAAATTTGTTAGGACTAATATTTTCGCACATTAAGAATAACTACCTTTCCGAAATTGACACGTAACTGGACGTCAATGTGCTTTTTCATTAAAAAAAAGTACCATGGTTTAGAGATACCTCATTTTCAAAACAATATCAAGCAGAATGGGTAAATGAGAATAGAAAATTGAAAATTCTATGAGCCCGAGCAACCAAAGTTCTGGTGAAGCATTCATAACTTTTTTTGCTCGATATTCTTTGAAGAAGTCATGAGTTTATGAACCAAGATAGTCATAGCAGCACAAATGCTTCAATTTGTAGAGCAAATAAGCCCCAACACCAGAAAATCTGTCTTAAAGAATGAAGATACGAAGCAACTGTATACAACGTTATGATGTATAAAGTGAGCTACAAAAGTTGACTTTCCCTGTATTTTATAGCTACATCTATATTGCTGTTTCTGTAACTGATTTTGAGAAGGTTAATCTGTGAATGTTCCCAAATTTTTTCTTTAAAAAGTTTTAACGGACTTGTAACCTAAACATTTTCTTCTAATACTTCCACCGTTAGTTGTTACTTATGCTGCAACCTCCTCTCGCTGAGAATGTAAAACATGTGGAAGAGTTCTTTTTTGTCCTGGCCTAAATTTTGTCACAATTTATGACTTCTTGGCAATGCTGGTTAGACCTCTACTCATTCAATTGTGACCAGTTGCGCTTTAGTGTGGATCTAACCCTTGCATTACTTGCTGACTTGGTCTATGCCCGATAATTGTCTGATGCATGTTCTGGTCGTATCTGCAGGAGGAACTGTTTATTGGACTCCTACTTAGGGCTATGAAAAATGATGTAAATGTGAAGCGAATTGCTGCATTCTCGAAGCGTTTATTGCAGGTTTGTGCAAGGCGTCAATTTGTTATTATGTGAAACCTAACATAGCTAGCAATATATGAGTATAGTACACTGAGGTGAGGTGTATTTAGGCAATTTTTCCTCAAATTTTCTCCTGCAATTATGCTAGTTTAGGCTTCCATTAGTCTTCTATAAATTTCATGGTTTACTGTTAAATAGCTATTCTCAAGTCACTGAAGAACTACACTAATTCAAACATAGTTTAGGGAAAAAGAAGCTACTTGAAGCTGTAATTACATTCGCTCTTACGTTCATCAAGGAGCGTACTCTATTGACCATGTGCTTGATATTCCGTTGAATTTGGTTTCAAAAAGCACATACTTTTATTGCCCTCTTGAGAATTTCTTTTTTTCTTTCAAATTAAGCATTGATTGTCTGGTATTAACAGGTTGCAATTCTGCAGCAGTTTCAAAAAACCACATACTGTTATTGCTCTCTTCGGAGTTTGTTTTTCTTTATTCAAATTAACATTGATTGTCTGGTATTAACAGGTTGCAATTCAGCAGCAGCCTCAGTACGCATGTGGATGTCTGTTTCTCCTGTCTGAGGTCCTTAAATCGAAACCAACTCTCTGGTATGGTTGCTAGGAACACTATCCATTGACAAAGTTTATGACACGGCTAAAAAAGAATTTGTTTGCAATGTAAATGTCTCAACTTTTTCATGCAGGAACATGATGCTCCAAAGTGAGTCTGTTGATGATGACCTTGAGCATTTTGTAGATATTACAGAAGAAGATGACGATCAACCCAATCCACCAATTCAAAAAGATAATGCAAGTGAAGTTGCTCAAGAAGCTAAGCACTTGGAAAATGGCAATCATTCTCTGCCGGAAGAAGGTAATTCTAGTTCGGAGTCTGATGATGATTCACTCCAAGCTGAGGAGTCTCCTGCTAGAGGTGATTTAGATGAACCAAAGAATGCTAGATTGATGTCCGGATTCAACAAACTTCTACCTGAAGGTTCGAATGATAAGCTCTTATTGCCTGGAGGATATGATACACGACACAGAGAACCTTCATTTTGGTACTGTTAGTCTTCTTTCTGGCCTTAAATGCTTATTAAGTCTGCAATGTGACAAACAAAGATCAAAGACTATCTTGCTGGGTTCATTTGAAATGGCTATGATTCCTCTTTCTACATGACGGGGCTTGATTGGACACCTAAATTTTGGAAAGATATAGAACATTTTGTACCTAAGTGAAATCTACACGGCATACCAAAAATTTCCTTGGTGTCTTTTGGTCTACAACCTGCCATGTCACTTTTATAAGTTTGTCTCTTTCAGGGTCGTAAGCTAGCGTAAATACCACTATTATCCACAGAAAAAGAAATAGAATATTTTAAAATTTTCTCCTGAGTATACAGAAAATGTAGTTTCTTGTATTGACTTTTATGAATTGACAGCAATGCAGATCGTGTAAGCTGGTGGGAGCTGATGGTACTGGCATCGCATGCGCATCCATCAGTTGCAACCATGGCTAGAACCCTTCTTTCAGGAGCTAACATTGTGTACAATGGTAATCCCCTAAATGATCTTTCGCTGACTGCCTTCCTCGACAAATTCATGGAAAAGAAACCGAAACAAAGCACTTGGCATGGTGCTTCTCAGATTGAACCTGCTAAGAAGGTTAGTATTTTCTCGATGACATAGGATATCTATCATGTCTAATAGTCATAGTATACCACTTCAGACTGGAGCTTTATTAGCTTGTCGCATCACATATATCTCGTTTTTCTTCCAGCTTGACATGCAAGATCAGCTGATTGGGTCAGAAATACTCTCCTTAGCTGAAACAGATGTACCACCTGAGGATCTTGTCTTCCATAAATTCTACGTGAATAAGATGAAGTCCTCGAAGAAACCAAAGAAGAAGAAGAAGAAGACATTAGAAGATGATGCCGCTGAGGAATTTTTGGATGCAGATGGGAGTGATGTTGAAGATGAGATTGATGAAGATGCTGCGGATGAGAGTGAAAATGAGGAAATTGACAGCATGCTAGAATCCGGTGTGCTTCCCTCAGAAGCTAATGGTGAATATGATTACAGTGATTTGGACGAAGTTGCTAATGAAGACGATGATGAATTGATTGGTGATGTCAGTGATGAGGATCTGGATACCCTTTTGGCACATGATGAATCTGACACTAATCTTGGCAGTGATGAAGACAATGATACAGAAAAGGCAAATGAAGATGACGAAGAGGAGGATGATGTACATCGAAGGAAAAATAAAAGAAAGAAAGACAAGCGTACTGCCGGAAAATCCCCATTTGCTAGCCTTGACGACTATGAACATTTGCTCAAGGACGAGAGTCCAAAAGAGGCCTCTAAATCAAGAAAGAAGAGAAAGAACTCAAATGAGCATTTGCTCAACGAGGAGATCCCGGCAGAGGATGCTAAATCAAGAAAGAAGAGGAAGACCTCGAATGAACATTTGCTCAACGAGGAGACCTCAAAAGTGAATGCGGAAAAGCCCGTCAAATCAAGAAAGAAGAGGAAGGGTTCAAGTTAAGTTTTGTTGCAAATCTGCATGAAAGAGTTGCTGATTTTGATATCCTATCCTGAGATAGATAGGTAAAGGAACTCTTTCAATACCCCATTATTGTCAGTTCTTGTTTATTGTGTTGTAATTTTAGCCGATAACACAGCATCATTCTTACTGCTTTGTCCTCCTTTTTGTTGTTATGATAACTCTTGGAAAGTCATAAATAGCTTCGTCACAGTTCGTGTTATGATAACTTTGCAAAGTTCATTGTGCAACCGTTATTTATTATAGAAAAGAAAAAGGGAACCAGCAAATGCCATACCATCTCTTCATTGGACAAAAGTAGAAGATCAACTATACATCAAGGTACCCAAACTTAATTGATAAATATAGCAAAATAAAAGTAAGGGAATGTGTTAAGACTATATTCTTATTTTAGTTTTCGTATTATCTAACTTAGCATTATTAATCTTTAATTACGTGTTATCTAACTTAACATTATTAATCTTTAATTATATCAAGTAAGTGATTTTAATTCTTCAACTTACAGATTAAAAAAAAAATTAATAGAGAGTTCACTGCTAAAGGAGGTAGTTCAGATATCTCTTTTTTAATTCTCTATCTTTGAAGAGTAAGCTAAGTCTTCTCTATCTTTATCTAGAAGAATAAGCCCGTCGATTTAAGCTGTAACTTCAAAAATCAAATTGATAGACATTTAAGTCTTCCTCTTACAGTAAGAAACGATAAATTATGCAACGAATGATTTTTTTCTAAAATTTTTTCTGTTTTTTCAAACGATGATGAACTCTCTGTTAATCTTTTTGGATCTATTAATTGAAGAATTAAAATCACTCACTTAATATAATTAAAATTAATAATGCTAAGTTAAATAACACAAGGATTAAAATAAAAAATTAGCCAGGGACTAAAATTGCCGTTTATAATTAATAATATATAAAAGCTGAAGTAAGAGAGATGTAGATTTATGATAATTTAATTCATGAAACTGCAACTTTAACAGTCTTCGCCTTAGATGGTGGAGGCATCTTTTCAACTACAACAGTTAACACCCCATTCTCGCATTTGGCAGTAATAGCAGAAACATTGCAGTAATCGGGCAGCTTGAACTTCCTCATCAGTTTGAGGGGTGGATTCCTCTCCAACCTCACGTACTTGCATCCCTCTTCTTCACTCTCCTCGCGCTTCCTCTTCCCGTTGCTTCGTATCACCAGCGTCTTCTCATCTTCCACACTCACCTGTAATACATTTCAATCAATCAAACAAAAAATGTAATTATGAAGACAAAATTGAAGATGTTACCGACCTGTATGTCAGATTTGGATAAACCAGGAACATCCATATAAAAAATGTACTCTTTTGGGGTATCCAGAATGTCCACGGGAATGGTACCCCTACTCTCATTTGACCTAGAAGGACTCACAAGCCTCTCAATGGATTCTGGAAAGAGAAGTTGGCTCACTACATCCACAACAGAGCTCATTTTCAAGATTGTTTGCAGCTTACTGGATCATCAAGAGTGCTAAAAATCCTCGACGAAAAGGCTTATTTAAATTGGGGAAAATGGTCTCTGCTGAAAGATACTTCTAGTACGTTCTTGCTCTTTCCTATTTTGACACGAAGCATCTAGAACATTTACGAACCGGCCAGACGTACAGACATTTGGCGCACCCTTATCTCCAGGAAAAACTCAAAATAATCCTTAAATGTTTGGACTTAAATTTAAAGTCATTCTCAATAATTTTAAGACATTAACTCGATCTTAATAATTTCTTTTTTAATTTGTTAAAAATAATATTTATAAAAAAATATTTAACGATGGCAGGAGTATAACTTAAGGGTTGTGGCTCAATCCATAGTCATCTCTAAACATGTATTTCAAAGTTAGTCGTATTAATATTTGCTCCAAAGTCAAAATAAAAATAAAATTATTGAAAGATCATGATTAAATACAATTTTTCATAGATACATATCTATTAAATTTTAAATATTCTTAATTATAATTTCTAACTTCGTCACTAATTAACTCTCCTTTCACGAGTCAAGAGACGCTCGTTGAACATCTTGATTTGTCCCATGTATCAAGGTATCTAAATTTTGAAAACCTACTTTATATATTTATGATATTTCTTGTCCTTTTAGAAAAATCAGTATAGTTGACCTATTTTTTTGGAGTGACATCATGAAAAATGCTAATATTTCAAAATGGCCATCGTTTTGACAAGTTGCAGTTGTATCAGCTTAATTAAATCGAGGTGAAATTATTGGAGGGAAGAAGAATCTGTTTTTTTTTCTCAATTATGACCGACGGATTTATAATACTCCCGAGTTGATGGCAGTTTAATGACATAAGAAAATAATTCAATGGGTAGATCATAATTTTCATATAATAATTATCATAATTAATACTTATACTGATTGATGTATGGTTTTAAGTTTCGAAAAACATTATAAAAAAATAAATAATTAATATAAAAGTAAAATATAAACTTTTTTGTTTATATATTTTTTTCCATATCTATACATTTGTAAAATGATCAAAGCAAAAACCATCCAAAGTTTTAAAATATTACACCAACATGTAAATATAGATTACAATCCATCTCAGCAGGGAATAATAATCATAATAATATACAAAGTTCTTCTGTGAATACAGAGGATTGAATCATAAATACTACTACATAACATGTACGTACTTTGATTTGACACCGCATAATAACGGTTAATCCGATGCCCTGATTTTTGGAGTAACTCGATTGCTCCCACCAGCACAAGTAGTGGCATTAAACATACGTTCCTCAAAAGCATTAGTCTCATAAGGAATTCTCAAAATACCTTGATTGTGAAATCCATATTCTTCAGCGGATCGTGACAACATCTCCAAAAATTCAGCATCGTAGAGAGCCGTTGTGTGTACCATAAATCGTTTCGATTCATTAAGGTTTACTCCAACGGCAACAGGAACATAACCTCTAGGTGTCATAACGGCAGCTCCACTGAGTTTTAGCCGCTTCCCAACCATTCCGATCCCAATCAGCTTGCTCAATTTGCTTGCTTTAACGCCCATCAAGTATTCGGAATCAACTGGTTCGATTAATTCAGATCACTTTCTCGTGTTGTTAGTATAACTTCGTACCAGGCCGTGCAAAGTGCCAGTACCTTGTGGGCTTCATTATATTAGGTAAAGGACTAATGACGTTTTAGCTGTAGGGATAACGACACTAATTAATTACATTATTGGCTGGGTAATTAAATTATCAGATTATTGTAGTCGCAACTAGATAGAATTATGGGAACAAACGGAATGCCGTAAACACAAAATTGATGTATCAGTACTGTATTTACTCCAAAGTCTAGTATAGAACCAATTACATAACATTTACTATGACGACGTCCATGTTGATAGTATTATCATTTCGACAAATACTTTTCATCTTTTATTTTTTAAATAGTATCTTCTGAACAATATTTTATTTTTATTACGTCTAGCTTACGTACCTTGTTATGTTTATCTTTTCTGAATAAGACATCTCAACATCTTCGTTTTCTTTATATTTCTGGATGTAGTAAGTGTTTTGGACTACCCGATCGAGCTCCACACATAATGCTGGATGAGGAACAAACCGGTTATTTAAATGATGATATTTAAGTGTAACATTTTATATTCTAACACATCGACTTATTTGTTAATAATCAGGCTCTAAATTTAATTATCATACATATTTTGATTCAAAAAATTACAAAAAACAAAATTAGACAAGAAATTATTGGATTCTATCAAATTCAGGTGTTAGTCGCCGTCATGGTAAGATGCCCATGTGAAAAGCATTTTACCCATTTGTATTTTCATTTTCATAAAATAAATTGTTCTTTTTTGTAAAAAAAAAATGTTCTCATAGTCATGTACTGATCTAAGTTAGACTCTTGAAAATTGATGTACAATGTTTCAGATTGCTATTTGATTTATATCAATATGCTATGTTTTATATTGCTTTCTATAGATATTTTGGATGCGAGTGTAATATTGAAAAAGAAATTATAAGCCATCTTATGTGTGCGGTTAAGAAATTTGGTTGATTAATTAGATTCCAACTGTGCTCGTTGAGGATGCCAGCCGGCTTATGATTTCCTAAACGACCATAGCTGACTTAAATTCATAAAACATTTAAATATCAAATAATAAAAAATAGAAAAGTATAAATAATATAATAGGCAAATATTCCCTATAATTTTAGATTTTGTTTAGATCGTATTTATACCGGTTGGTGCATAGTGAGAATATAACTTAAATTAATACAATATCCTCAACTTTGAATATTTGAAACCTCTAATTTATTATTGTCATGTTGACAAGTCACGTCAGTTAATCAGTAACCAGTGATCGATGCTCAAATGGGCCCGGCCTCGATATTACATAAGTATAAGTGAAATAATTCTATATTCCGTTTAATTCATATTATATATTTCTTTTCATTCTTTATTACTAGTTCATTTTTGAATTCACATGCCTGTAGACCGACAAAAAGAGTACTCTATACTCTTACCAATTTAATGCAATTTTTGGTGATGTAAAAATTGACTTCTTCAAATGAAGATAAATTTGAAACATAACATAATTTCTTAATTAGATAAGAAATCAATTATTCTGGACTCAATTTAAAAACTAAAGATATTATATAATAACGACGGGAGGGAGCATGTAGTTCATCGTAGGGATATCAAAATTCATAAATATATAAACACTTAGATACTGTAATACTCCATAAAACATATATTAGTTAATTATCTAACACAGCTATATTTAAATTAATTACGAGTTGCAACTTAATTTTAGTTGTAATTGTGTCACTTATACATACAAATGTATATATGCACACAAAATTAGTCTCTCTCTACTCTTTGCCCTCTCTACTCCCTCTCCCTGTTACATATACACAATTATGTGACAGTTATACATATACAGTTCGTCTCTGTCCACTCTCTACTCCCTCTCTCAATCTGTTCGCCAAATATACAAATACATATGTACACCAGTTACATATATACACAATTCATTTCTCTCCACTCTCTGCCCTCTCTTACTCGTCGCTCTCCTCCCTCTCCCAATATTACTCGTCTCTCTCCTTCCTCTAACATATAATTACGAATTGTAATTAGCAAACTATAGTTATGAAGCATAATTAAATTATTTTTGAGAGTTTATATACGAAAATTTCCCCTATCGGAGGGTCTAAAAATTAGGCCCGGAATATGGTGTCCTTAGACATTGTAATGTGTTATATATATCACGGGCTCAAAGAAGTCCAAATCCATCTCTAATCTAAGGAGGATGAGTCATGCTGCAAGTGTAAGCCCAAATTCATTTTAAACAAGTCCAAATAGAGGGCCTGAATGTTGAGGAATTGAGGTAACAATATTAATACATAGCCATGTTAAGTATGCATAATCAAGACTTCCTCTTATCAAACCTTTTATTGTAATTAAGTGTAATACACTAGTAATATGTATATCATTAGGATATACTCTTCTAGTTTCCCGGGTACCTCTTCCACTACTATCACACAATTTGTCGAGCTTGTCAATTGATGCAAAACAATCCTAAGACACTTTTTGTGAACTAGATTTATGTAAAAAATAAATAAATGAAAATTATAGATGCTTATTGGAAAATTCTAGAAAAGATTGGCATTGCATGGTACTTGTTAATTAGGAACGATATTTATGAGAATACTAGAGCCTGTGGCTGAAATCGAAACGCAGGTCGATTTTTGTAGAAAAAAACCTTTGGACCACACGTAGAAACCAACAATTTTTTTCCTTCACTGAGCACAAAGAAGAGGCTAGAGCATCACTGCTTTCCAAAATATATTTATCAAGATCAAATATGGCCAAAAGGAGCCTTTTCATATTGTCGGATAAATTATGCCCCATCTAGTGAATGCTTTCAATCAATTTCAATTTATGTCTCATATTTAATTAGACACAAATTTTAATTTTAAAAATTAAAGTGGTTATTGAAAAAAAGTTTATAGCCAATTTTCGTCGTTGTTTAAGCATATTTGAAAAAATATACATGTCTGCTCTTACAATAAAAGTTTGACAAATTGCATGCTTTTCAAGCAAGTTATATCTGATTCTAGTCTATAAAAAATTTGTGATGACGCATCAAATATAAATGAAGTCTTACGTTTTTATCGTAATTTATACGTGATAATCTGATATGGTACGCAGCTAATCCACGTTGAATATGGTGAATATAAAGTCATATACGTTTGCCATATCATAATATGCATTACACAAATAATTCTTATATAATTAAACAAGGCAATATTAAGATGAAATCATGTCGTACGTGCAAATTGCGTTACACATGCAAGGTGTCTGGAGTGTGCAATGAATTCCGCTTCTAGTCTTCTCACTTGTCCTTATCCAAGTTTTATTTATATCGATCGATCGTCTTTTATCCAGAGTCATAAACATAAATTATTAATGTGTTATTTGCGTCTCTAATCTAGAACACTGTTCTCTCCTACTTGCCTGCCTTTATGAATTTTCCAGAAGCCCAAGTTGCAACTTTATTAAATACAACTTGCAATGGCTCAGTTGGAACGCCGTTGCCCAATTTGCAATAAGTGGGTCCTTACCTTTTTGGTGTAGGTCCCACTTGCCCACACAATTATAAAAAACAAACGTTTCTCATCCTTAAAACACTTTTAATTAATTAATAATAATAATATGCGAAAAGGGCGAGAGATCAAAGAAGCTTCTGGATACAATAACTCACAAATATCTCGTACCGTCACTGAATCTAAGCCGTTCATCCCTAATCTAAGGGACTTCCGTAGTTGGGAGGAAAGCCCAGCCAATGTATTAATGGAAGGCCCGTTTCTGGAGACTTCTTTTGAGGGAGGGTTGTTCATCTCTCTACTCTATCTCTCTAGAGTTTTAAATTCTTTGAACAAAGAAAAAAAAATCTAATCACTTTTTGTATTAAAGTTTGCTGGAGATTTGTATTTAATTTGTCGACAAGACAGGAAAAATTCTGGGGTGTTAAGTTTTTCTTGATCGTTTTTTGGTGGTATTGAAGTTATGGAAGACAAAAGCAATGATTATTATGCAGTTTTGGGGTTGAAGAAGGAATGCACTGACACAGAACTTAGGAATGCCTATAAGAAGCTTGCACTGGTCAGAATTTGAAAAAATATTGAATCTTGATCATGAAACAGAGTCATTTTAGCTTAAATTTGTGTTTTTGTATCTATAGAAATGGCACCCAGATCGCTGTTCAGCATCGGGGAATTTGAAGTTTGTAGATGAAGCAAAGAAGCAATTTCAGGCAATTCAAGAAGCATATTCTGGTAATTATTTGGTGTTCTTTTTAGTTAACATAATTGCGCCGTACATATTTAATGATTTGTTCATTGTAATATATTGTCCTGCTAAAGTAAAAATGAACTCTGTGAATTAGAAATGTATTAATACATTCAATTGTTTGCAGTGTTATCGGATGCAAACAAAAAGTTTTTGTACGATGTAGGAGTTTATGACTCTGGTGATGATGACGACGAAAATGTAATAACCCTGTTCTTTTATGTATACTCTCATGTTGAAAGTTCTAAATCATGTCGCAAAATCTACGCTAATACTTGGGTGAGGTTTAATTTTATGACTTCATTGATACACAAGGAATGTTGTGTCATGAGAGTTGTTCCATTTGTTTTTACACACTTTGAGAGCGCCAAGAATGGTGTTCATGTTGAATCTCAAGAAATGGGCTCACTATGAGAATATTTCCAAGTATTAGTGTTAATCAAGTATGGAGTTTTGAAACATTGAAGAAAAAAGTGATCTTTTTTATCCTTTAGGTAAGTCATAGATTCACTGTTACGCCAGGGGATAAGGATATGATTCTACTTTAAGAGAGCTGAACATGGAAGTATTGGTTTCTTCTAATTATGTACCAGTTATTCTATTGTGTCTCCATAAAATTGTTGTGTTTTTGCTTTCCTTGGGCCAGAAGTCTATTGGAACGTCCTCTCGACCTGCCAAGGTAAGGCGTAGGGGTATGGTTTGCACACACTCTACCCTTTGGAGATGCAGACGTCACTTGTGGGACTATATTGAGTGTTATGTTGTTGATTTAATTGAGGATATATAATTAGATCCTGATCTTTGTCCAAAAGACTTGGTTTAACTTGTATGATATTGCTTGAACTGGTACGGATACCACAGTTATTCCTAAAAAAGATAAGTTGTATATTGCATGAGACAAATTTTTTGTACAAATTTTAAAGTGGATTTTCTTGTGCAGGGCATGGGTGATTTCCTGAATGAAATGGCAGCTATGATGAGCCAAAATAAGTCCAATGTAAGTTCTCTTGTTTTCCCTTTTTTATCTTCTTAAATTTTACAATGGAAAGACCCCTCAAAAGGTGAAGGAATTTATGCTTCTATACTGGGTGCTAAGAGTGCCTATATATAAGACGTTTGTTGAACAATACTTGACATCATTTCACTTTCTTGGCTCTGTTAAACTGAAGTAGTCTAGGTGGTGGACCTTAAACACTTGGGCATGTTTTCGCAAATTTGTTTATATTCGGTGAATAAAAATACTACGGTAGTACTTTATTTATAAAATAGAGGTCTCTAAGTGGTGTTCAGATGGTGTTCTTTGAATTGACAGGAAAATCAGGGAGAAGAAACCTTTGAGGAATTGCAGGATATGTTTAATGAAATGTTCAACAGTGATAATGGAACGTTTTCTTCTTCTTCTTCTTCTTCTTCTTCTTGGACTGGAACTCCTTCAATGTGCTCTACTACATCATCTACATCTTCAAGTGAGACTTTTTTAACCTTTCCCAACAAGAGAAGTTCAGGTGAAATGAAGTCGGGTAGTAGTGTAAGAGGCGATTCTTGCCAATTCCAAGGATTTTGTGTAGGGGTTGGTTCCCGTTTCCTTCTGCTAAAACACATTAATGTACTTATCATTTGTGTTGTTACTAATTCAGTTAAAATATTCGCTATTAATACTTGAAGGCAGGTGGAACTTCTGGAAAATGCAATGAAAGAGAACGAAGTTGGAGGAAAAATTCCAAGAGTGGACGGAAGCATTAGGAGGAGAGATGCCAAAATGCAAAAGGTTCTATCATAATTCAACAATTATTTTACCCAAAAGATAGGGAAAATGAAAAGAGCTGCAGCTGCTTAGTCCTGGTTTGATCCAAGTTCTTTTGTGGCTGTTGTTTGTTACTATTTAAGGGATCAAGAGTTGTTGCCAAGGTTCTTTTTCACAGAAATCAGGATCTTCTTGGTCTTGTGAACACAAATGTACTGTAATTCTAGCTGCCCAAGTGTGATTCAAAAGGTTTTCACCAGACATAAATTCTTAGTATTTCATATCTTGAATTCTTTAGCAATTATATTGTATTGCTATTGAATCAAATCATTTAAGCTCGAGCCTTACGATGAAAGGAGAACTATAGTATTATATTTACTTCACTCTAGGCACAGGTGGAATAACAGTGATTAGGTATTTCAAGACAAAACAACGAAAATGATAAAAGAACTACTCCTAAATTGATTTCAATATAACTTGTCTTTGCACCATAAAGTCCATTGTTGGATACAATATAATTTCTTCCAAAATCGATTATATTATCATCCACTTGGCAACCTTTTCTTCAAAAAAAAAAAAGGAGAAAACGTCAATCATGGGTCTCAACTCTCACATACATATAGTAATACTTATGTACAGGTTTCATCTCCTTAGAAGTCTTTCTTCATCTTCTTGCTTTTCTTACTTATTATTATTATTATTATATAGTCATATCCCACTTTGAAAAGAATTTTTTAGGAAAAGAAAATGTAAAAAGGCCAACTAGTGGCCAAAAGGGCAACCCAAATCAACTTGTGTTTTGTTAGTTAAAGGTGAGACTTGAAAAGACAAAGGCAAATTTAATAAAAGTCCAAATTCAATTTGTCAAAAAGTTGAATGAACTTGATTCTGTGTCATGCGGGCCTTTATAATTAGCAACTTGTGCAAGCATATGCTAATAAGAGAAGGCTGCTGGTTATGGTGAAGCGATCTTAATCAAAAAGATAGGTTTGAATTTTATGAATAAAGTTGGCTTTGATAAAAAAAGGAAGTCCTTTATCTTTTTCAATTCGTAAAACAAAATTAATTTTTTTTACCTTTCAACTCGTAAAACAAAACTAATTAAGCGCTAAATCTAATGCTATCAATTAGGAAAACATACACACACACAAAAAAAAAAAGGTGCTTCTGCACAACTTGCACTCGTATAGATTATGAGGCTCTAATAATAGCATTAACTTTATTTGTTCTTTTGTGCCCCTGATTACTTTTTTTCAACCGAAGGATTATTAGGTTGTGAGGCGTTTGATGTGAGTAGTATTAGATTAGATGGATGCTATTATGTAATCTAGCAAATGATTGATCCCACTCGTACAACAATTATTTTATTTTTAAATAACTAGTCCAAGTTGGTTTTGTTTAGAACTAATTTATGAGTCATTTAATATTTTTTTATTTCATATTTTTGGTTGAAAAAAATAAATTATTGATTTGTTAGTTGACAACGTGTAAAATCGTGTAACATGTCGTATAGATTTATTTATCTAATGTGTGTCAATAGTAGTATTTTAATTTTTGGTGTTTGTAGGTTAATTAGACTTACCAAATTAATCAATGATTAAATACTGATATTTAATTATCTATTGATGTGATGAAAATTTTGATCATGTGATAATGACTGAGTAGCACAAATTTATTCTATTGATTAATTACATGAACCGAAAAAATAAAAGGATCATGAAGATATATTAAAATGTTATGAAAATTAGAAAGAGGGGATGTAGCTCAAATGGTAGAGCGCTCGCTTTGCATGCGAGAGGCACGGGGTTCGATCCCCCGCATCTCCAATGTTTTTTTTTAATCTGCTTTTGTTGAAATGTTTGATGATTTACTTACTCGTAATTTATTCCATAAATATAGAGTGGTTTATTCATGCTCTTGACTACTCTACTAGGTTCTCATCAACCTCACTATCTGACAAAAATCATATCAACTTCACCATGCTATATATACCTATATCCAAATTCACTTATCCAGTTTTGGCTAATTAAAATTATTCTTTATTTATTGAACTAGGTTCATGACTTCAATACACATTTTATTTCCTTTAGCAAAATCAAAATCCGTGTAAAACATATATAAAAGGTCAAATACATAAGCATATCGCTAAATTTGTTGGGTTTTTTCTCTCAGGTAACTCAACTACGTCATTTTCCTATTGAATCATTCAACCCCCATAATTTGTTCCGTTTAAACAAACATCGATATCTGATGTGGAACCAGGTTTGTGAAGGATATTGATAGAGGATACATATGTTGTTCCACAACTCATTAGTCCAATTGATAGTGAAAATGTTCGAGAATAATTATATTTTACTTAAGTCATTTGAACACATTAGAAAACAAATGAGACTAACACGCTTTGTCTTTATTCATTTAATCAAAATTATTATAATTCGAACACAATTGAAGGCATTTACAATAGAAAAGCAGATCAAAATCAACCAACAGTGTTTTAAAGAAACAAATTATGTGTGGTTCAATGATCAATAGAAAAATGACATAGTTAAGGTACCTGAAGAAAAAAACCCAACAAGTTTAGAAATCTGTTAGCTTTTATTCTATCGCAAGCCATTTTGTTAATTGCCTTTTCATATATATAAATACCTACGGCTGTACTGCTTTACTCCTTAGGAATAAACAAAAAGCAAGAACTAAAATGTACATCAATCAAGAAAAAGCTAGTATTGTAATTTGAAAATTGCACCATTAAGAAAAAGTATTCCTACCATTACTTTTTAACATTGCTATTTTTGCTAAAAGATTAAAAATGGTTGTTCTCCCAAGTTAGGCTTAATTAATAAGGTGGTGATGACATGCAATCCATTTAAAAAAAAATTAATACTACTGTTAACTAGCTTTACATGTTTGGTATAGTAACTTATAAGTATCTAATCGTGTGTTGCTATTCTGAAAAATGAAAGTTAACTTTTTGGAGGTACAAAACATATTTTACATATTTAGTAGAATTTTTAGAGTAAACATATTTAATATATCTACTTAAAAAAAATCTAGATAGTCTAGAGTATTAGATATTTAAGGAATATATTTGTAGAAAAGATTAGAATAGTCTAGATCCTTGGTATCTAAAATCATTCCTAAACAAAAATAAATACTGTTGATTTTAGTCATTTGTAAACAACCCAAGAACCTAAGAACAATCCAAATCAAATAATCTTCTTCCATAAACAAGTTCTTTTTTATAACTTCATCTTCTTCAGTTGAATCTTACGATCTTAGTTAATGATCTTTGGCTAGCATTATGTTCCCAATTATATTTTTTTCTGCTATTCTCTATAGCTATATATATGAAATATGATGTGTTTTTTCATGTAACTATCTCCTTATTATATAGCTATATATATGAAATATGATGTGTTTTTTCATATAACTATCTCCTTATTATAATATTTGAAATGAATATTGTGTTTAGAGGCGAAATCAAAATTAAGAGTTTGAGGTTTTAAATTTCTTAATAGCTGTCGATCAATTTTGTTAGGGATTCATAAATTAATATATATATATATATAATGTTGTGCGGAATTTGAGATAATACGAGAAAATATAAACGCGAAAAAACAAGACAACAGATTTACGTGGTTCACCAATAAATTGGCTACGTCCACGGGAAGAGAGGGAGCAGTTTTATTATGGAGAGGCAAAAACAGAATTACAGAATAGGGTTTCCCATAGCGTCTATATATAGTGCTAAGCTACGCCCTGACAGGCTTGGGCCCAACATACAGAATCAACAGAAAATTAAGACCCCCGTCCTTTCTGTTTGTAGCGGGTCCGATTCAAGGCATTCAACAAATCTCCACCTTGACTTGAATTCTCCGAACAGATTCTTCAGACGCACTATGATAGTGCCAAGCCTCCCCCTCTTCCTCAGAGTTGCCCCGCAGGGCAATTAACAGCTTCTGATGTTGAGCAAGTCCAAACAGTGTTGAAACTTGCTCTGTGGAACCGGCTTTGTGAACATATCAGCAGGATTATCAGCAGTTCCTACTTTCTTCACCTTGATTCTCTTCTCACTTCTTAGAAAATGATACCTTACGTCAATATGCTTGGTTCTCTCATGATGGACTTGATCCTTGGCTAGACAAATTGCGCTCAAACTGTCACAATACACCGTAGCCTGATCATGATGCAGACCAAGATCACTAACCAGCCCTTTCAACCAAATCCCTTCTTTTGCAGCCTCTGTCAAGGCCATGTACTCCGCTTCCGTAGTAGACAAAGTCACTGTAGGTTGCAAAGTTGCCTTCCAACTGACGACAGATCCTCCAAGGGTAAACACATAGCCAGTCATCGATCTTCTTGTGTCAACATCTCCAGCATAGTCTGAATCAGAATAGCCAGTAACCAAGCACTGAGTATCACCTCCATAAATGAGACCAACGTCAGATGTACCTCTAAGGTACCGGAAAATTCTCTTCACAGCCTGCCAATGTTCTCTCCCTGGTTGTCCCATGAGTCTGCTCACTACACTGACTGCATGTGCTAAATCTGGCCTTGTACAGACCATAGCATACATCAAACTTCCTACGGCACTGGCATAAGGGACTCGTGACATATACTTCTTCTCTTCTTCTGACTGTGGAGCGAACATGGCAGTGAGATGGATATTGGCAGCACTGGGGGTATCAATGGGCTTAGATGAAGACATGCCAAACCTCGCCAAGACCTTCTGAATATAGCTTCTCTGTGACAAGAAAAGTTTCCTTCTCTCTCTGTCTCTAATGATCTCCATCCCTAAAATCTTCCGAGCGGCTCCCAGATCCTTCATCTCAAACTCAGCACTAAGTAAACCCTTCAGCTTCTGAATGTCATACTTCTTCTTTGCAGCTATCAACATATCATCTACATAAAGCACCAGATAGATGAATGAATCATCATTGAGCCTATTGTAGTAGACACAACAATCATATGAGCTCCGAGTATAGCCCAACTTCACCATATAGCTGTCAAACCTTTTATACCACTGCCTTGGAGACTGCTTAAGTCCATATAAGGACTTCTTCAACTTGCAGACGTGATTTTCCTTCCCTGGAACTTGGAAACCATCCGGCTGAGTCATGTATATCTCTTCCTCCAACTCTCCATGTAGAAACGCTGTCTTCACATCAAGTTGTTCAAGCTCCAGATTCTGATGTGCAACTATCGCTAGTAACACTCGGATGGAAGTATGTCTGACCACTGGTGAGAAGATCTCATTGTAGTCCACTCCCTCTCTTTGGTTGAAACCTCTGGCAACAACCCTGGCTTTATACTTGACTCCTTCTGCTGGTGATATCCCTTCCTTCTTCTTGAAAA